CCACAGCGTGTCAAGCTCCTCTTTCAGCAGCCCCAGATACAGATTGATGTCGTTCCCTGGTTGTTTCGGCCCTTCAATTAGCATACTCATGTGAATGTACTTCCTCTTCATGCACAACCAGGGGGGAAGGTTGTACATCCACACAAACACAGGCCAGGTGCTATGTGTGCTTCTCTGGCTGCCAAACGGATTGACTCCATCGGTGCTCACGCCCAGCACGATGTTCCTTGGATCATTCCCAAATTCTGGGTCTTCGAAGTTCAACGCTTGCCACTGGCTCGCATCCTTAGGGTGACTCAACATCTTGTCTTTTTTATCTATCTCCGGATCATTTGCGTCATCTTCTCGCTTCTTCTCCTCCCTATCCGCTTGCCAATGCAGGAGCTTTGCTACCTTAGGGTCCGCGAAATACCGCTGCAGACGAGGAGTGATCGGAAAGTACCAAACCACTTTTCGAGGAGCTTTCTTCCTCTTCTTGTATCGAGTGACGCCGCACACCAGACATATGGTAGACTCCGTGTGCTCGTCCCGATAAATGATGCAATTGTTCATGCACACATGGTATTTCACGTGCGGTAAATCCAGAGGACACACGATTTTCTTCGCCTCATCCAAACTGGTTGGGCACTTGTTCCCCTTGGGAAGACGTTCGTGCCAGAATGACATGTTCTCGTTGAAACATGCGTCGGTCATTTTGTGTTTTACCTTCATTTCCAGAGTCATGAGCGTTACTTTCAGGCGGGTATCCTCGGGCCTGCATCCTTCATACAATGGAGTAACCGCGTCTAACTCAAGTTGATCCATCTTGGCTTTCTCTCGGGTGGCAGCTCTTGCGTTATCCATCTGCTTGAGAAGCAGCTCTTGAATATGAGGGTCCTGCACCCAGCCCATCGATGGTCCAGCGTCGTCTGCTCTGCCGGCATCATCATCTTCATGATCATGCCCGTCGTCTGCTCCGGCATCTTCCTCATCATCATGTCCTGCATCTTCTACATGATGACTGTGTACAGCATCACCGTCGTGATCATCTCCTGGGGATTCTTTGTCTTCTCGCCCGCCCGAGCCGCGGTGGTTGTCTTGCTGCCCTTTTTCATTTCTTGCCCGGCCCCCATGGACGACTTCGTAGTCATCTTCATCACCTTGCCACCGATATCCATCCATGAAACCACGCAAGAGCAGGTGGTCCCGCACCTGCCCGGAATCCGGGTCCGCAATAAGGCTCTTCAGCTTGCATCTTCGACACGGACATCTTATCTCCGTCTCGTTCTTTTGAAGCATCTCAACCTTCGCGGACCTCAAAAACCTATTCACGATGCCTTCGGTCATCGTGCGGACCATGGTCGCCTGCGGGGTAGAGCAAAACGATATTTTAGAACCAAGAAAAAATTTGGCATGACTTTCCCTAAAAATAGGACCAAAAAGAATGCTTAATGCCAAAATTCTCGCCGAAACGGAAATGAATCAACATTCCGGCAAAATATTGGCAACTATCGCATTTCAAATACCGGTACACCTCCAAACACAAACACATATGCAACACCACAAACATATGCAACACCACGAACATACATAGATCTAGCTAGGCCATAAAAATGCATGTGCACATTGTTGTAGGGAGAACAACATAAATATAGCTTCTCCCCTTACTTACCTATCAAAACAAGATAATTTAACCACTTAATTTGAATGAATCTATTGTGGAAATGAGGTGAAAAAGAGGAGGCACCCGAGACAAGGAGGAGGTGGAGAGAATGAAGTGGGGAGAAAGTGAGTGTGGGTAGGAGAGGTTGTCCAAAATATCTTGTTGTTGCCCACTTACTAATGGCACACCAGCACTAAATGCGCCATTAGTAATCCAGGTTACTAATGGCGCACCTTCTGGCGGTGCGTCATTAGTAGTTTTGCAAAAAAAACATACTAATGGCGCACTGTTCTACAGTGCGCCATTACTAGGTTGAACAGTGCGCCATTAGTAGTATTGCAAAAAAAGGAAAAATATAATAAAAAAACAACATTAGTGGCGCACTTTCCGACGGGTGCGCCATTACTAGTTACAACTAGTAATGGTGCACTGTGTCTGGATGCGCCATTAGTATGTTTGGACAGGCGCACTAGTTCAAAGAAAAAAAAATTGATACTAATGGCGCACCTTGGGCCAGGTGCGCCATTAGTAGTTTCAACTCTAATGGCATATCAGAAGATGGTGCGCCATTAGTATATACTAATGGCACACCCCTTGTCTGGTGCGCCATTAGTGTCAATCCCATCTATAGCCCTTTTTCTAGTAGTGTGAATTTGAGTAACTCCCACATGGCTAATTGTTGGAGTGACACTGATGGTGCCCACAAAATCCACCTAGCTAACTGGCCTTCTATCTGTATGAAGAAGGAATTTGGGGGCATGGGGGTACCAAATATCCAGGATATGAATCTTTGTCTGATTGGGTCTTGGGTTAAAAGGTACATAGCTGGAGAGGGGTCCATGTGGAGGAAAATTGTTGATAACAATATAATACTAAAAGCCAAAATATTCTTTGCTGTCGTGACCCACACCCTTCCCAGTTTTGGAAAAGTTTTATGTGGACTTTGCAAGCTGTGAAAGTGGGATTCAAATGGCAGGTAGGAGATGGCAGTTTAGCTAGATTTTGGGAAGATACCTGGTATGGGAATGCTCCTTTAGCCACCCAATACTGGGATCTTTATGTTTTAGTGAATGAGAAGAATAAAACCATTGCAGAGATCTAGGATGGTCAAGAGCTCAAATGCACATTTAGAAGGACCTTCTCAGATGAGCTGATGTCACAGTGGTTTGAGTTGGTGGATATCCTTTCCCTGACTAAGTTTAGCCAGGAGAAAGATTCTTTGATTTGGAAATATGAGTCTAATGGGATTTACTCTTCTAAATCTCTCTATGCCATTGTTAACTTTAGGGGTGTTCAACCTGTTTATCTACCTGCTGTCTGGAGTGTGAAAGTACCGCCTAGGGTGCAAGGCTTTCTTTGGCTTTTCTCACAAAATAAAACTATGACATGTGACAATCTTAGGAAAAGAGGCATTGCAAAACCCCTAGAATGTGTCCTATGTAAGGAGATTGAATCTGTGCACCATTTGTTTTTTGACTGTTTGGTAGCTAGGCTAATTTGGGCTGAGGTGAATTATGTGTTTAGTATTTCTGTTACTGGATACGAATCTGTAGCTAAGTTCTGGTTGTGTGCTAAAAAACACAAGTAGTTTAATGTTATGAGCTCTGCAGTCCTGTGGGTGCTGTGGAATTTTAGAAATTCTATTGTCTTTAATAGACTCTCTTGAATCTCTATGAAACAGGTTCTGGGGCTGGTGTACCGCTATCTAAGGGACTGGACCAAGCTGTTTCAAGATCTCCAGGAGGGAAAGATGCAAGAGTTTCAGGAACTGATCTGGGAATGGCTGAGGAAACCCTTGATGCTGGAGCCGGGCTGATTTGTCACAAATGGTTTGAAGACCAAAACTGTGAAGAAGGGCTCTGGATGAAGGCGGTGGGAAAAGCTGCTCATGGAGGGAAGACTACTCTTGAATACCAACTGCAACACCCGGAGGAAGCTGATAGCATTCACGTGGTCAACATCGGGTGGGAGCCTCTATCCTGCTAGAGCAGTCTCGCATGTTTTGGGCTAGTGTGCAGATTTGGCATACTTTGCTTCTCACTTGTTAGGGGTTTTTCGAGCTGTCCTGATCAATGGGTCTTAGTTATTTTAGCTGGTTGTAATAACTTGGAGTAGTTGTAGGTGGAGAGATGCTTCTCTTCCTGAGTCTGGTTTGTTTGATCTTGGTCCTGCAAGAACTTGTACGCTGAAGGTTTCTTTCTATATGAAATGGGCCGGGGGTGACCCCCTGATTATAGAAAAAACAAAAGCCGTCTTGTCGCCCCACCGCGGCCATCGACAATATGTCGTCATGCCCGACGCTCCGACATTGATTTTGCGACGGCGCGCTACAGTGCGAAAGGGGCAAGGTGTTTATGTGTACGCATGCAAGGGAGTGAGGGGAAGGAATGAATCGTGCGGCTGGTCAGAACGAGATCAAACTACTACGCAGGCGACCGAACCTAGGCTAGGATTGATCGACTGACCCCTATTATTGCCCTTATTGCGTCGACCATTGGTCTCCTTTTTTCTTAACAGAGTACAGACGCAAGCGCTCATATACACGCGCATCACCCCTATGAAAGCACACACTCCCTACCCCTATGAGCACCTCCGAAAGACTGAGCCAGAAATCCTGAAATAAATTCAGGAATAAGTGCGAGCACCAGGGCTTGAACCCTGATAGGCTGGGGATATCACAGTCCCTCTAACCATCCAACCACAGGCCATCCAACCACAGGCCTATTGCAAAGAAATTGCCGAAGGCTTCAGTACCATACTCCTCTCCGTCATTAAAAAAGTGTACTTTCCAATAAACATTTTTATATTTGACCGTATTTATACATAATACACCAACATTTATGCTATCGAATTAGTAGCATTAGATTCATGATAAAATATTTTTATTATATAACTATTTTCATTGGCTTCACAAAACATTGATATATTTTTGCACAGTTACCTTCTAACAAAGTTGGAAATACACTCTTTCAAAGTTGGAGGGAGTACACATTAACCAAAAATCCAACTCTTACATAAAGCTTCTACGCAATCTGTATGCGGTAGTTTATTTAGATTGGTAACAACTCTTCTGATTGCTTAAAAGAATCTTCTGATTTTTAGCTAATCCATAAATAGTAATAGCGTTGCTCCTCATTAATTGTGGATTGATAAGAACTACTCTCTTCGATCAATGATCAATACACACTATTTCGCAGCAAATTTGTTTAATATATTTCATGTCACCATATATTTACACAAATATATATCGTTCTATTGCAAAAAATGGCGAGCATGGCAACGGGCATCATCATATGGTCTAGTCTTTTATGTACAAGTACACAACATATATATTCGATGAGTAATTGTTTCAGTAGTTTCAAAATCTGCACATACTACGCATGAGCACCCTACGTCGTTTCTCGAGAAAGTCGCTGCTCTCGATCATTGCGCGCCAGCTCCGGCAAACAAACCTGAGCCTTGTAAGAGTGCGCTTCGACATCTGTCGTAGCACCAGTGACATGGCGAAGATTATGTCCTCGTGCGGCTGCCCGGGATAGGCGATGCTTTCCTCGTAGAATGTGGGCTGCCCTATGACCATGCCTTGATTAGAGAGCAAGCCACTTTGGTCCAGGAGATTCTCCATATCGCCGGTTTCAGGGTTGTACGCGCACAATTCGAAATCTGCTGCGCTGTCGAATTGGAGGTGGCGTGGTTGTACATGTACGAGGACGACGCGACGACCGTTGTCGATCATGGCGAGTGGGCTGACGAATTGACGGGCGTGCATGAACCTAAGTACCTCCGGCGACGACGTGTCCAGGTCGATTATGCAGTGCAGATCCCAGGTGCTAGTTTCATGTCTCCTTAGTAGCCAGATGTAGTAGAGATGCGGCCGTGACCATTCGACCTTCTTGAGTACCCAGCTAATGAGGCATAGGCGCCCGCCCATCTCCGTCAAGTAGTGCCCAAGTACGCTATTGCAATGCTCGTTGAGTGGGAACTGCACGGTCCCAAAAGTCTCGTCGCTGAGAGAGAAAGTGGCGATGAAAGCCCAAGTTTCCCGCTTATTAGGGGGGTTGAGCTTGCTCCTGGCCAACCAATGCACATGACCTTGTGCAAATACGCTCTTGCCATCTTGCTTTACCCAGCCCGGCGGTCTCTCCCGGGCGCCGCCGTTCGCCGGCCTCCAAAGCCCCCCGGAGTTTACCACGTAGACCTCGCATCCAGCGCCAGATGCCGGGAGGTTATCCACGTCGGATCCGCGGTAGTAGACACGTACAACTTTGTGTTTCTTACTGATCGTGTCGTAGCCGATCCCTAGACTCGCATACCTACGGTCAGGTATGGGGAAGCCTATGTGCCGGCCCTCTGGGAGGGCCGCCATCTGGCCCGTGGATGGGTTGAACACGAAGTGTAACCCTGCACCGATGGCCTCGACGATGACCAGGCCGCGACACTGCATGGTGACGACAAGTGGAACGACATTGTCCGCGTCGGTGTTCCGGCCGTTGCGTCTGACGAGAGGCCACAGCGGACCGCGGTTACACCGTGTGACCGCGCCGTGGAACTCCATGAGCGTCGTGCAGGCAGGGTGTTCCGGCGACCACGCGTGGATCTTCGGGAGTGACTCGCGAGACAGCGCGGCCTGCATGATGAGAATCCTGGGGCTGCCGTGACGGTTGGCGAGACGGAGGTGGCGGTCGGCGAAGTCGTCCGTAGAGAGCGTGGCCGCCCAGGCGCGAGAGAGGCAGCGGCACCGGAGCACCGTCTTGGCCGGCAGCCGCGCCAAGATGTCCTCGATGACATGGTCCGGGAGCACGGGATAGCATGGCTCCGCCATGGCCATGGCGGCTGCTGAAGCCCGAGGAGATTTGTCTGGAGCGCACCTAGGTCGGAACCGTATGAGCGCGTCTGAACAAGAAGGCTAGAACGAGAACGCGTAGCTACAGATCGATGGATGTACTTATAGGGCGCTTCAGGCTGTCCGGATCGTATCCTATAGTTGCAGTCGGAATCTATTACGTAATAGGTAGAAACAGCGTCTTATTAGGCAACGTTACAAACGGAAGCAGCGGGGTCTATTAGGCAACGTACAAACAAACTGAAGACTTTGGTGCACCCGCAAAAAAAAAAAACTAAAGACTTTGGTTAACTGCCGTATTAGGTAAGTCCTATGTTTTTTTTGAGACAACCTCACAAAGCTTTTATTAAGTCGCCACAATGTTTACAGGGACGGAGGAAAGATCTCCGGGGTGGCCCAGCCACACACGGCGTCCGACCCCGAAAGATAAAGCATGCTTCGCTAATTTGTGAGCTTCATAATTTGAGCTCCTAAATTCATGGCTAACCTTACAAAAATCAAATTCTAAGGAATGGTGTATTATTTCATGTGCAATGGCTCCATAGGAGGACGCAATCTCCTTCTTCATATCCTTCACCACCTGTTTACAATCAGATGCAACATGGATACATCTTTGGTAGAGGTCCTTCGTTAGTGCTAATCCTTTCCTTATCGCAATCGCCTCAAGAATCTCTGGGTCCGCAATATACCTCAAGACCAGTACCAATGCGCCCAAAAATAATGGCCACTGCTAGGTGTCATCCGGCTGACGCGAGGCAATTATAAACCGCCTCGTGAGCTGTTGGATGAGGCGTCGCGTGGCCGTCCGATTTGCGCCAGTGGAGCCTGGAGGAGAACAGGGACAACTGCAAAAATTGACCCCGATCGCTGCAGCGCAGCACCCGCTCCATCGCTCGTCGTCAATGGCCATCGCATTCTCCCATCTCGAGCAGCCACACCGGCCACAACAAACCAGCCATTTGATTCAGGCGTGCGTGGCCATCAGATTGCGGGACTACAGCAGTGTGTCTTTCTCTTCTAGCTTCACATCCTTCTCTCGCGTCAGATCCATCAGGACGGTGCTTCAATGCATCACTGGAGGCCCGACGATGCTACATCACAGCAACGCAGCCGCCGCCGACTGCCGCATCAAAGCACCGGCGATCTCTCTGCAGCGTCGCGAGCGATGCATTGCAGTTTTGACAGCACCGACAGCCGCCCGGCAAGCTCTGCATACTGCATCATAGCTCCGGCAGCGTCACAACCGCTGCATTACAGCTCCGGCGGCGTCGCACCCGCAGCACTGCAGCTCCGGCAGCGCCGACGAGCTCTACATCGCAACACGAACAGCCGCGGCAAGCGCTGCATTGGAGCATGATGTATCTCTTCGGCGTCGCGCCCGCTGCACCGCAGCTCCAGCAGCGCCGACGAGCTTTGCATCGCAGCACGAACAGCCGCGGCAAGCGCTGCACTGGAGCACAATGAATCTCTGCAGCATCGCGGCCGCTGCATTGCAGCTCCAGCGCACCGGCAAGGCTGCATCGCATCACCGGCAACGGCCGGCAAGCGCTGCGTCGAAGCAACGGTGCCTCTGCTGCATCGCAGCGCTCCAGCCGCTGACGAGCGTTGTAATGTAGAATGACCTTTGCTTGTGCATCATCTATGGCATTTATTGAAGCGGCCTAGGGCCACGGGGTGCGGTGGATCCTGCCAAGGGCTGGCGGGAGGGCTCCGTTTTCAGTCGTTTTTTCCTATTTTGTTAGGGTTTGTGTCATGTTCAGGAAGGCGAGACGGCGGCGGCTCCTTGAAGATGGAATAAAGGTCTCTCCGCCTAGCCCCCGTTTCGGCGATGCATCTAGCATCGTTGGTGGGCGTGTGGAGGTGTGTCTCCGGCGGATCTATCTTTGGTGGATTTGCTCGGATCTCGTCATTGTTCGTCTATGTTCGTGTGTCTTCGGGTTGAATCCTTCCAACCAACGTTATTCTTCATCAGCGGCGGTTGCTGTTCTGGTGCGCTGGTCCTATGGGGCCTTAGCACGAAGACTTCCTGACTGTCTACTACAACAAGTTGTGCCCGACTCTGACGATGGAGGGGTGATGACGGCGGCGCGCCTTCGGTTCGCTTCAGTATTTGTAGTCGCCGCTAGGTGGTCTATGGATCTGGATGTAATTTTATTTCTGGTGTTCGTTGTACTGCCATGATTGAAGATGAATAAATTGAAAGTTTTTTCGCAAAAAAGAAGCGGCCTAGGGAGCTTGAGCTGCATCCCTCATGGCATAGGCGAGCACGAGCACGCGTCCACGAAGAGTAAAAAGCAGGGAGATGGATGGCTCGCGTTCTCGCGCTGGAGATAAGGATGTACGATGGGTTGGGTGGGACTGACGGGAACACGTGGCACGTGCGAGGCGTGACTGATTTTCTCCCCAAAATCAGTTGGGCAAAAGCAAGCGTTTTCCAAAAGGGAAACGATTAGTTTCGCCCGACTGATATTTAGCGCGCGTCCGCCACCCGCTGTGCCGTTGGATCCCTGATCCGTTTCTCCCGCAATACACAGTGTCTCCACGTCCATCCGTGCATGGTCCTCGTGGGTATTAGCTGATGCTTATCCATGTGTGTTTGATTTTTACTGCCGCATACACTACTTCGTGCACTGCTGCCATGTACGGCACACCATAGCTGCCTTTTCCAACGCGAGCGGTCTTTTTTCTTTCTTTCGGTCAACGTGGCCACTGCTCACTGCTCGCTGCTCAATATCCACTACGATGAGTTTCCGCAGCAAGGTCTCTGTTGTAGTAGAAACTGCAACAAGACTTTTGTTGAAGAAAAAATAAATTTAAAGCGAGACCTTTGTTGCAAAAATACTAAATTGCAACAAGACCTCTGTTGCAAAAAAAAATCTTGCAAAAATTTCTACAACATGACTCGTGTTACAGAAATTTCCCGCAACATGATCTATGTCGCAATGATAAAAGGGTGACGCTCAGTCGCTCAATTCGACGGATCCGTTGCAATTTCTTTTTTGAAACAAGGCATGTGTTGCCAGAAAAATAGAAACTGAGCTTTTGTTGCAAAAATAATTATTTTTGCAACAGACCTCTTGCAAAAAAATATGCAACTTGACCTATGTTGCAAAAATTTCCGTAACATGACCCGTGTTGCAGAAATTTTCCGCAACATGACCTGTGTTGCAATAATAGAGGATGACGCTCAGTCAATAAATCTACCTGATCCTACGGCTCGTGAGGCGGCGGATCTTCTAAAAGGATCCGCCGGCCGACGCGTAGCATTGCCCTTTAATCGCACACCACTTTTAGCAATGGCTCGTAATGCGGCATCTCTTCCACTACCAGCGCCCTTTACCATAACTTCTGCTTGTTGCAAACCTACTGTACGAATAGCATCTACTGTTGTTCTTTAACCAGCATAGGGTGATGCTTTTCTTGAGCTTTTGAATCCACAAGTATCGGCCGAGGACCAAAAAACCACACAACCTTGTGGGTTTGTAACAGTTATAATGGTATTGTTGAAACTGGCTTGAACATGAATAACCCCATTTGTTATTCTACGTGCACTCTTCCGTAAACTAAAACGTGCATTCCTACGTAAACCAATACGCACTTTCTTACATGAACCAATTTTTGGTATAGCTTTTGCCATATTTTATTATCTCATAAATATGAGTTAGAAATAAAAAAAGAAAAAAAGATACAAAGATATCCGGGTAAAATAAACCTTTTACTTTAATTATTTTAAATGAAATTTTTTTTATTTGGGATTGGAACATTTCCACGGGTACTTTTTTTTTACTTTTTAGAAAGTAAAGTTCTTTTCGAAAGATTACCCCTGTCTTTGTTTATGCTTCGGATTAGAGCAAATGACTCTAATTCGTCCACGCCTACGAATCAGTCGACATTTTGTACAAATTTTACGAACGGAAGCTCTTATTTTCATATTTCCGTATCCTTTTTTAAACTATGAATCTAATCTTTTGGAAAAAATAAGTCTCTTCGCTTGAATGTTAGAACTTAGAATTTATTACCCTAGAAAAAAAAGAAAAACCTAATCCTTTGAATCTTTGGTATCCTTCAAATCTTCGCTATCCTTCGAGTCTTGGATACGCTTCGAATCCTTATGGGGAAGTCTATAAATTATACGTCCCTTGCTTGAATCATAACGACTTACTTCAATTTTGACCCTATCCCCCATCAGTATTCGTATAGAACTAGACCGTATCTTTCCTGAAATATTGCCTAGGATGATGGTGTCATTCTCTAGCCGAACGCAGAACATTCCATTGGGTAGGGCTTCCGTAACTAAACCTTCGAAAGTTACTTTTGCTTCTCTCGGTTTTTTTTTCTCTCTTATTTTTTTTCTGCCATATTTTTTTCTCCTATTTTTCTATTTTTATTTTAAAAATAGGAAGGGCGAGATAGAATTTGAACACTATAGGCGGGGCGATTACCATATATAACATAAGACTTCTCCCCAATTCTGTTTAGTCGAGCTTCTCGATCTTTCATTATTCCTTGAGAAGTAGAAAGAATAGCAATTCCCATTCCACCCAAAACTTTAGGAATTCCTTGATAGTTGGTATAAATTCGTAAGCCGGGTCGGCTGATACGCTTTAAAAAGGTTCTTGCTCTATATATTCCTTTTCTAGTCTTTCTCTTTTGATGTCGCAAAGTTGAAACCAAGAAAATATCTATTACGTTCCTGATGTTTCCGAACACTTTCAATAAAACCCTCTCGTAGAAGTATTTTAACAATGTTTTTGGTAATATTTGTAGATACTACTCGAACTATTCCTTTTTTATTCATGTCCGCATTTCTTATAGAGGTTACTAAATCAGCACTAGTGTCCTTGCCCATAAGACTCTAATTCTAGGTTCCTCCTAATTTTTCTATAATCAACATGTTTTTTTTTCATTTTGGATTTTAAAACATATACGTAAAACACAATCTACTAAATTAATTCTTTGGTCTCAATTTCGCCTACTAGTATTTA